TTTTTATTTGTTCTTTTTTAATTGCTGAGTGTTTATTGTCTTTAATAACGCTTGAAGTGTATATTAGTTCGGCTGGTTGTGTTTAAACCGCAGGCAAACGCTGCTGTGTAAGTGTTCTTCAGCTGATGATTTGCTCATGATATTCAGACACAAATACATGTTCTGCAACAAGACTAAATGTGAATGATATCTAAGGTTGTTTTTTTAACCTTATTGGAATTGAAATTATGAATCAATAATCAATAAAATTCAAACAATACCCAACCATGAACCGTGCCATAATTTAGTGGAAGATTGCTGCCATCAACTCCCAAACAAATACTTTTGCTAGTGCTCAATGAATAATTTGTGCATGAATGAGATTTGGACGATGACATCACTGTTTTATCCAGAGCAAGCTATAGGCTATATAAATTAGATAAATTAATATTTTTTTACAACAAAATAAACCATCACTGAACATACTTAAGCTTGATTATTTCTTCTAGATCTGCTGTACAGGAGAAGCAAACTTTGTTGCATTATTTTCCTGTTATCACTGTAAAGCTGCCTTGAAATAATCTGTATTGTAGACTAAAAAGCGCTATATAAAAATAAAGGGGACTTGAATGCTAGATGTAATGCTCTTGCTATATATATATATATATTAGGGCTGTCAAATGATTAATCGTGATTAATCACATCCAAAATAAAAGTTTTTTTTACATAATATATGTGGGTGCACTGTGTATAATTATTTTATATATAAATACACACACATGCTTGTATATGTTTAAGAAATATTTTCATGTATATACTGTATATAGATTTATATCTAATTTATATTATATATAAATATAAATATTTTATATATAAATAATATTTTTTTCTTAAATATACAAGCATGTGTGTGTATTTACATATACAAAATAATTATACACAGTGCACCTGTTATAGTTATGTCTGTTCTGTATCTGTTTCCCTGAGTTTTCCCCGTCATTGTGTATTTGGTTCAGTCCTGTTCCCAGTTTTCCCGCTCCTTGTTAGTGTTCAGTTTATTCACCTGTGTTCTGATTTGCCCCAGCTGTGTCTTGTTCCCTGATCACCTCTGTGTATTTAAATCCTGTCTGCTCTTTTGTTCGTGGTCAGTTATTGAATGTATGTATTTTCGAGTGTCTTGCCTGTTCTGAGTTTTCCCTAGTTTGTATTATTAAAGTCTACTGCTGCATTTAGATCCGCCTACTGCCTTTGCTTCCACGCAGATCGCAACAGAATAACTGACCCACTAGGATCTAGCAGCCATGCCTACCTGGAGTCCTGATGTCCAGATCCTCCGTCTTCGCCAGGAGAATCGCGCCATCGAGGATTATGTCGCAGAATTCCTCGAGCTGGCATATCTCGCGCAAATGAACACCCACGGCTTGAAGATCTTCTTCCGCGGAGGATTATCGGAACCACTCCGGTCTCTGATGCCCGAACCTGGTCCTCACGGATCTTTAGAATGGTACGTTGACCTGGCCTTGTTGTGGAGCGGTTCCCCGTTTACTGTGGGCGTGGAGGAGAAGCTGCGAGAGCCTGCGCTTAACGTCAGCCCGGTCGCGCCCGCGCTTCACTTCAGCTGCTCAGCCGAGACCACGCTCCACAAGCCTGCGCTTCACGTGAACCGAGTCGAGCCCGCTTTCCACGACATGCCTGAACTTCTTCCTGCCGAGATCGACATGCCTGAGGCTGAGCTTCTGTCTTCCGAACCCGCACGTCGCTTCAGCCTCGACGAACCCGAGTCAAGTGAGACCGCGCTTCCCGAGTCAAGTGAGTCAATTGCCGCCGAGTCAAGTGCCGCCGAGTCAAGTGAGTCAAGTGCCGCCGAGTCAAGTGAGTCAAGTGCCGCCGAGTCAAGTGAGTCAAGTGCCGCCGAGTCAAGTGAGTCAAGTGCCGCCGAGTCAAGTGAGTCAAGTGCCGCCGAGTCAAGTGAGTCAAGTGCCGCCGAGTCAAGTGAGTCAAGTGCCGCCGAGTCAAGTGAGTCAAGTGCCGCCGAGTCTACCGAGTCAAGTGAGTCTACCGAGTCAAGTGAGTCTACCGAGTCAAGTGAGTCTACCGAGTCAAGTGAGTCTACCGAGTCAAGTGAGTCTACCGAGTCAAGTGAGTCTACCGAGTCAAGTGAGTCTACCGAGTCAAGTGAGAGTGAGTCTACCGAGTCAAGTGAGTCAAGCCCAGACACGCGTCGTCGCAGGAGGAGAAGGAGGTCTCGTTTGCCTCGCCAGGCTCCGGAGGGCGTTCCCAGACGCCTCGCCCTGCCGGCCCCGCCTCTGCGCCTCGCCCTGCCGGCCCCGCCTCTGCGCCTCGCCCTGCCGGCCCCGCCTCTGCGCCTCGCCCTGCCGGCCCCTCCTCTGCGCCTCGCCCTGCCAGCCCCGCCTCTGCGCCTCGTCCTGCCTGCGCCCTTCAAGCTCCGGGAGGCCTGCCCGGAACCCTTTTACCACCTGGAGGTTCCTCCCGAGGATTTCCCCAAGTATTTTTGGGGGGG